GGTCATTATGTTACCGCTATGTGGTATCTACGTTTTTTTTATGCATCACTGATGACAAATAGTTTGAACTCATTCTTAAAGCAAGATGAACAGTTTTTCTCAATTTGTGTTTTATAAATAAATCTATTTTGTCTTGCACTTACAGTAATCAGTGTCACTACTTAACTTCACCTTGAGATCCTCTCTTTAGCATCATTTATGATTTTTGTTTCTACAGTATGAGTTAGAGGAGCAGCTGCATCACAACCCAATATGCCACGACGAATATTCAGCAGAGTTCTTTCCTGTTAATTTAGCTCAGGCAATGTAGGAGGAAAAACACTAAACAACGGTTGGTAAAACCATGAAGAAGGACTTTTAAAATACTGCAATTACTGTATTTAGATTCTAGTGAAAAGTAGATCACTTGTCCAAGTGAAACATTCCTGTTTGTGTCAATCGGTTATCGTGACTGTGTAAAATTCATACTTGTGTCTCTAAAAGGTAAATGGTAATCAGCTCTTGAAAKGTCTAGGAATCATTCACTGTAAAACATGATTTATGCCAGCATCTTGAAAATAAACTCAGTTTTTGTCCAAGTATTAGAAAATAGTTCATGTCTCAAGCTCAACTGACATGTTTAACTGTTTTTAAAAACATGAAATGACTTTTTTAAAACCTTTAATGACCTTTAATGACTAAATTATAGAAGTGACTGTTACTTCTTTCCTTATATACTTGTATACATTTGCGAAGTTTGCAGTATTGTGGAGCCAACAGCAAATAGATAAATACACCAAAAATAAATTGAAATATTGTATACTTTATTTAAAACTATTTAGGCATTTGTTAAACCCATAAAATTTGGTTCTCTATATTACATTGAGACACAAAAATGCCTTAATAAAAAAACTGTGCAGCTGATTATGCAAATTGTTCCCACCTTTATGTCTATCCTTTAACTGCCTGCAGCTGCTCATTTTCATACAAACCCTAAATGTCTAAATCCTTTATTTTCTTCAAATTGTTGTTGGCTCACAGCAGGTCCACTAAGAAAATGCTCAACCATGGTGTGAACATTTTGTTTCACTCAAGATGTTTTTTTTTCTTCTATAAAAAATTCTTGCTAAACTGTTGGTGCAGATTACCAAAGCTAAAATATTGGACTGGAAGACATCTTTAAATTTTTACTCAAAATATTTCATTTTCAGTAATCACAATGACTCGCATGATCAATTTCAATTCCATTTCCAACTCAACAGTTGGAAGACAAAACGCATAGTTTGTCATGTTTGCAGGATCTTACCTTCCAGCCACTGCCTGCTTCTCTGTAGTAGGGGAAGTTGTCACAGATCCACTGGTATATCTCACTGAGGGTCATCCGTTTGCGAGGCGAGCCATTGATGGCGAAGGTGATGAGGCTGGCGTAGCTGTAGGGGGGTTTACCGTCTCTGTGCTGTGCAGCTTCTTCTTGGTCCAGGGTTGTTCCCGGGTCCAAATGTACCATTTTCTTGCCAGGTGCATGCCCGTGGTGGAGCATGTGGTGGTGGTGGTGATGGTGGTGGTGCCCTAGGTGACCGTGGTGGTGCCCCGCGTCCGCCTTCTGAATGGCTGCCCTCATGCTGAGCTGGGGAAGCCAGTCCATTGAAGTAAGGCTACTCTCCAGCTCAGAGGTCATAGTCACTAATCCTTAAGAGGTCAAAGAAGAAGGTGGGAGGCTCAGCAATGAGGCGTGTGGAGGATCTCCTGTTGRCTCACTGAATGGGTCCTGTGCAGCAGTCTTGGCTCAGTCCTAGAAAGAGCAGGAGGTTTATTTACTATGCCTATTCATCTTCTGTAGTTGGAGCTGAAACCACATTTGGCAGAGACACACGGATATAAAGTTGCATATTGTTTTTCACGTACAGTCTCGCTTTGTGTTACAGAAAACTAAATATTGTGGTACTTTAATCACTTTGTCTTTAATACTGCTTATAAATATTATTTGCAATGTGATAWATGGATCGTCAAAACAGTTTATCACACAGTTACTGTTTATTGTACATTCATTAGCACAGTAGTGTGAGGGGTGCATATAAGGCGTGTGTCTTACTCTTCCCATTTCTTTCCATCTTTCTTTTGGCCAAAGCATCTGGGGAAGTCACTGAAATGAAAGGTAGAGTCCTCCCCTTGTGCATTTTCACAGAGCCTTCATTTAGCCACCAGTACGACTGCTACTGCTGAAAAGCACAAACACAAAACCATACAAGACAGTCATCTTGCACTGCCAGACAGCTTTCATAAGATATTAATATCGCACAACCATTCAACTGGCCTCGGCATCTGTCCAACCTGATTAAAACCCTTCTCCCTTTCCCCCTTCTGTGTTGTGTCTATCTGGATTGGCTCAAAGTCTCATTCCCTCCAAAGTGGAAATGGCGATTGGATCTGCCGGGTGACTAAAAGCTGGGGAATTGTTTTCACAAGTGCCTGCCAAATGGGGGGAACAGCTCGGGAGGAATTCCAACCCTCTGGAGGAGCTGAATAGCCTCGTTCCCCCCCACCCTCTACGTCTAGCCCACCACTGCTGCCCCCCGCCACCTCCCACACACTCGCATTTTCATTTTCTGACTCGACGTGTCTCACTCTCCTGACAAGTCCGTGCCCACCCCTCTGTCCCAGTCAGACTCTCAGATCCTTGTCAGACAGACACAAACAGTAGGGGAAAAAAGCTCAGTAATCCTCAACCTTTTATTATAATAGCTTTTTTAGGGGAGAGCTGAACCTAAAAACATGGCTTGAGTTAAACACAATAGGAACACATAATCGGGGTTTTAGTAAATAGTTTCAACGTGAYTCAGGACGAAAAAGAATAGACTAATTGGGTACAAGAAAAATTACCAATTGTTCTGAATTCCGGTTAGTCACAAACATTTGCTGAGTTGTCATTACTGGATTGAGAATGTCACATAACTGTTAGTCATCAAAGAAGATGCTGCCATGCTGTAAATCGATAAACATCAATGTCTTTACCTCGTAATTAGAAGATAAGTGCCTTACAGTCTGTGAAATACAGGTAACAGTACGTGTACACAATGGCAATATATGTAAAGACTAAAACTCTAAATATGACAGAAACCACATCTAAATTTTCATTCCCATCCTGTGTGCTAACCTTTGTGTGTCCTTCAACAACAAACATCGCCATTGCCTTCTCCATTGAAGACATAATGAATAAAAATGCAATAACTTCAATAAACATGCCCACTAAGATGAAACACCTTTGTCTCTATTTTCACCTTTCGCTGTGGAAAGCATATAGCATGAATAAAAAGAGGAGGGAAATACCCAGCATCTGAAATATCCTTGCTTAATTACAAGGAGATGGGGAGAAAAGCATGTTAAGCAGTGGACTCATCAAGTCAAACAAGCCAGGCAGTGGAACTAGAGCAAAGAAAGAAAAATCAAGAGAAACTCAATGAGGCTTCTTGCATAAAACAGCCCCCCATCTTCTCCTCGGGCTCTACCACTGTGGGAGAAGCAAAGCCAAACCTTTCTTCCAAATCCCAGAAAGCCATCTTAATTAGTGCGCCCTGTTTCATTTTTCTGAGGTTTTAGTGGTGGTTGGGTAGTTGGGAATCGGGTGGTGACACAAAAGACACAGCACAACAAGTACTTATTTTCTTCTCATTAAAAGGAGGCTCAAACTGCAAATCAGCCTGCCACAAGTCCCGACCTGCTGCGCTCTCGTGGCTGTTGTTGAGAAGTTTAGGAGCGTGGGCAGGCTGAGCGGTCGCACGATGAAGCCTCACGCCGCTAGAATRGTGAGGTGTTGGGTTGATGAGTAATGGCAGAGCAAAGAGAAAAAAGGAGGGGCCATGGCTCGGCTTGTGGGAAGAGGGGTCCTGCTGGGTGGGTACAACCAATTACCTAACCTTTGTTTCCTGATATCAGAGGGGATGCCTCATGTGTTCATTTTGGGACAATTAGATTTTAAAAAAATCAGGACATCAAATCATATTTGTGTGCGTTTTCTTTTCATCTTAATCACCAGCACATTTATTGGACATGTAAAAATGTTTTGAGGAAACATTTTAAACACTGGAGTTAACGTTAAATGCTTTGTCAATTGCGACACGTTTTATTTAACACAAAGGGATCTCCTGAGGTTATCTCACGAGCCACCAATTTACCCTTATCTTCAATGCAAACATCAAAATGAAGATAAAGACATTAGATTTAGCCAAATAAGAGCAAAATCACTGCAGTTGTACGAACTACGATTTGGAAATATCAAATTAAAAAGCAGATATAGTTTTTGAAAATAAATATCATAAAATAAAGAAAAATAGATTATTCCCCATTTAAGTTCTGCTTTCTGAGTTGTCAAGATTCTCATTTAATCTGCAATCACCAGTGGACTTCTTGCCATTCAGTGCAGCTTAGCCACACAGTCAATGGGTGTAACTCATACACATAACCCCATAATGCTTTATCAGGAAACTCAAACTTTTTTAGGAGGTACAAATCTGGTTTTTGAGTACACGTTTGAATACATTTTAAAAAAATCTTTGAGTAATTTAATATAAATTTGCCACAGAATATTTCCAAAGATGTCATCAGCTAACATTAGTAGCAGAGTTTCAACAAATGATTTAAAAAAAAAACTGAATTTAAATGAATTTTAATCATATTCAACAAATCCAAACTTCTTCCTCTTAATATCTGTGAGCCATCAGCGGGTGCTTACAGACAAGATTCAAAGTATTACTTTTAAAAGTAGATTTTAGACATTTATGAGCAAGACGTGCTTTATTTTTTTTTATCTTCTCCTCCTCGAAAAAATAAATAAATAAATGCGCTACTTTTTTTGCACTGTACATACCGCTTTGATGACTGGGAATATTGTCGCTTTAAAAGAGCTGAGGATATGTGTGTGATTGAATGTATTCACCCATTAGATTTTGTAGCTGTTATGCACTCACTCAGCTGCATGCATCACTAACAGCCAACAGTCCCCCGCTGCTAGCAGGCTTTTAGACCGAGAGAGGCTTTACAGTTCTGCATTTTAATAGAGAACTTTCAATGGAGTGACTGGAGATGGGTGAGAAAAGAGGGGATGAGTTGAGGGGTGGTGGTGGGGGGACTCAAAAGAAAGAGGCATCAAAATATTTTCAGAGCAAAATGAAGTAATGACAAAATACCCACCCAGAGAGCGTGCAGAGCAGAAGGGGTTTATGGAAAGGACCGCTTTGGCAAGTGTAAGGCTAATGTGTCAAAGGAAACTCTGTAGGCATTCTGAGCGCTGACATGTCTAGAAGTGCGGGCCATTCAAAGGAGAGAGGAAAAGGTCCAAAAAGCACCATTGAACATCTTAATTACTTTCTGCTTCAGCAAAACATAACCCTGAAAAGGTTCAATTATAGGATATCAAGGCAAATCAGCTGCCCTCGGTGGCTGTTTGCTCTTCCTTAAATGGAGCTAGGTTAAGCAATTATCATTTGATACCTTTTTTTTCCACGAAACATGGAGAAGCGTCAATGAAATGCTCTCCCTAAAAAGTGAGATACCTTTTGTAGGCGGTGTTTCGAGGGATTGGTCAAGCAAACTTGTGTGTAAAAAAAATCTAAAAAGAGTTTTAAACGGGAAGATATTCTATCAGTGACAGAACACTTTGGTTTGTTGCCTCATTTCAACCGAGTTCATCCAGTGGCATCTGAATTGAAAGCGAATGTTGTGAATTACACCATCTTTCGAAGGTCTGAAAGAAAGTCTTAATCAAAAGGAAAATAGTATCAGAGGGATTCAATCAGTCACTGAATCCCTCCAGGCTAAGAAGAAAATATTTAACTGCTGAGCCCACACAGAAAGCAACACCTGACAACATCTGCCAAGGTAGGAGTTAGCAACTCGTAAGACTCAAATGAGGAAAAAAAAAGCTACCAGAATTTGGAATTTGGACAACGGCAAAGTTAAAAAGACATATTTTGCCATAAATAAAACATAAGAGTGCAGCATTCAGCAAACTCCCCCCATCGGAAGGTCCCAGGAGAGAGACGGGATGCTGTTTGTGAACTCATGCTCGGCACAGCAAAGGAGGCTACAGCACTGCGTCACCGCAACCCAAACCACATTCCCACATCCAGGCCTATTCAGCGAGGACTAGTCCTCTTTAAAAATTCATTAATTTACAACAAAAATAGATTAAAGCACCCAGCTGTACCAACCTAAAAAAGTTTGGCTTGTGAATAGCATTAATAACAGAAGTGAGCCTCCAGAAGCCCGAGGCCCAGGCTCGGAGGCACAGCTTCAAATTTGTTACGCTTGATAGTGGAGAGTAATTTACTTTTTTTTTTTTAGAAGTCTTACAGCTTTTTGATGCTTGTTTGTAATTACGTTGTTTTACACGAAAATCGCCTAACAATTGTTACTCATTAACAACATAAGCGTTAGAGCGCGAGGCTCTCGGTTTGAGTAGGACACCAGGTTCGCAGCGGAAGCTTGGCGCCGAACTCTCGCCGCTGGCGGCGCGGCCGCCGAGTTCAATCCAAATAAGGGCCCTCTAAAGGTGATCATCCCCTCTCTTATCTCTCACATCTTTCTTTTTGAAATCACGGCGACGCTTTGCAAACTGAATCAAAGAGGATTTTGACAAGATAAAAGGATTTGCTGCATTAGAATTCAAATTATGTGTACTTTCCTGAGGACGTGACAAAAAAAAGAAAACCACAGCGACTGGGAGCACTCAGGGAACTTGAAGGTGCTTGAAAATGAGAGAGCGCCCCCCCACCCCACCCCCCCGCTCTAATGTGCTGTCAAATTCATAAACTCAGAGCCTGATGACAGAGGAGTCTGTTCTGTGGGTGAATCAATATCTGATTTAGTCTTGTTTATGTGTAAATAAATTACAGTCGGGGGGCAYATGAGCGTACCGCGTTCCCTCACAGATAGGGGTGCGGTAAACGGCGAGTCGTTTCAATTATAATTTTTAAACAGCTGATAAACGATACGACTTGAGGCGATTAAGGTGACCTGATCTCCTGTAGAGTAGCCCCGCATTTATAGGCTGAAACGACACCTCATSCTAACCTCTTTTAACAGCTGTGGTACCTTCCAGCGAGGCAGTTCACCAACAACACCAGTGTTAATGATGAAGAGGAGCAGACAGACTCTTGGCATCTTGACTCTATAAAAATAAACTGTTRGTCTTCGTTTTGCCATAAGCATATTGTTCCTTATTAAGGTTTACATAAAGTAAACAGATCTAAACATGGGCTTGTTGTAATAGCAGCGGTATAAAAAGTGTAAACTAGATTACTAATGAGCTGCGAGGAAAAACTTCTGAATGCTGTGAACGCATGGCGGGTTAAGAAACAGCCCTGATGTAGGCGTTATCTTTCAGTTCTTCTCAAAGACGATTCTATATAAATTTCGAAGAATATATAATTAAAAAACAGCCAAGTCCGTGCTTTCTTTACAAGCWTTATCTACTGAATAAAATGCTTTGTGCTGCGAGTTCTGTCGTTAAACGAAACACTATCGAGTCCTAATTGAATGGCAGACTTTGAGCAGAAC